GCGTCGGCGCCCAGCGGGGAGTGGCTCGCCGCGGCGTCGTCAGCGCCCGCTGCCGCCGTCAAGCGAGGGCGCCCGGCGCCAGGCCACGTGCCGCCGCCGTCAGCGCTGGCCGCCGCCCGCGGCGCCAGCTGCCTCCTGGCCCAGGCGCCTCCGGCCGCGCCGCGAGGCTACGGCCGCTGGAGCCCAGCCAGCGTCGTCCGCCCCAGGGGCGTCCGCCGCGGGCGCGGCGCCGCGGGCCGCCCCCTCGGGGGCGCTCGCCGCGGGCGCGCGCGTCAGCCCCCCTCCGGGTGCGCTGGCGTCGGCCGCGCAGGCGGCCCGCGGCGGGGCGGAGCTCGCGCGCGTCGCTGCTCTGGGCCTCGGCGTGGCGCCGGCATCGCGGGCCGCCCCCTCGAGGGCGCTCGCCGCGAGCGCGCGCTCCGTGCCGTGGCCAGCCTGGCCGGCCGCGCGGGCGGAGCCAGGCCCGCCCTCGGCGCCGTGGGCCGCCCCGTCAGGGGCGCTCGCAGCGGGGCCGTCGCCGGCGCCGTCGCGCTCGTCGGCCCAGCTGGGCGCCGGGGAGCGCAGCGTGCTCTCCCATGCGCCCCCCAGCGCGTCGCACGACGTGTGGATCGAGGTCGTGCTCGCTGGGGCCAGGCGAGTGCGTTCGCGAGTCCAGCCGCCAGCAGTTTGGCGAGCCAGCTTCTGGCCCGCCGGCCAGCGTCGTGCTCAGGCAGGCGCCCACCCGGTCCTGGCCCAGCCGGACCAGGAATGTGCTGTCCCCGAGCTGCTCGTCCGAGCTGGCCACGCCCGTCCGCCTCGGGATGTCGTGGTGACCCGCTGCGACGCCGCCCAGGGGGCGTCCGCCGTGCTGCGTTCCTGCGCTGGCGGAGCGGGCGGCGGCCCCAGCGGGGGCGGCAGCGGTGGCAGCGGCGGTCGCTGGGGCCGGGCCTTTGGCGCAAGCGCTAGTGGCGCGTCGGGCTGGCGCCTCTCGCGGCTGGAGCCGCGCCTCGTGCTGCCCGCCGCCCCCGGGCTCCTGCTGCGCCGGCCCTCCGTTCGGCCCGCGGGGCGGCGTCCACCCACAGCTGCGCTTCGCGCGGGGCTCGCCCAGTGGGTAGGGTCCAGGCGAGCCGGCGCCGCCTCCCCGCGGCGACCGCGGGCCTCCTCGATTGGGAGCGCAGCACCTGCGGGGTGCTCCGGGCAGCAGCCCCCAGCTGCTGCCATTGGCGCTGCTCCGGATCCTCCGCCGCAGCCAGCTGGGAGGCTTGACCTTCTTCTTATTAATTAAACTTATTTTGTTATTGTTCTCCTTCTTCTTCTTCTTCTTCCCTTTGCGGCCCTCCTCCCAGGGCGTCGGGCTGCCTCCATCCCGGCTCTGCGAGTGGCGGCCCAGCCGCGAGTTGGATTGGGCAGAGGCACCACGCCCAGGCCCAGCCTGGCGGCAGGGGCGGCCGCTCTGCCGCCCCGGCCATCCATGCACCGGGGCCCGCGCCGCGCGGGGCCCCTGCGCGCCGCGCGCGCGCGCGCCTGAGGGAAGGCACCTCGAGCCTCCCCGTCAGCCACGACCAAGGTTCAAACCCCAGAGAACAGGTTTGAGCCTTGAGCCAAATTGGCTACGGAAGGAAGGATTTCGGCGACACGCGCGCGCGTGGCAGCGATCGCGCGTGGACCGCGTGGTATTATGTGATTCCGCGTGGTGAGATGTAAGAGAGGGGGGGGGGTCGAAAAGAGAAGGAGACAGAGAGAGCGCGGATGCTGGACGATATGGCTAAAATCAGGTTTTTGAATGTCAAACACACACATGGTTTCAGCAGGCGCGTGCGGGCAGGGAATTTGCAACGATGGCGATGGAACGCCGAAGGTTTGTTTGACGCTCTGTGTGTTGGCATGCTTGCAGAGTTGCGTTTCTGGTATGGTATCGGCGCGTGCACCTCGCGAGGGCTCTTGGAAACCTACCTCTGTGGTGCACTGTCCGTGGTGCCGCCAGGCTTGCGGGAGCCCACGTTGCGCCCCCCCCCACACGGGCGCCAGCCGAAACGCCACCAGACCCATCCAGCGCATGCCCACGGCGTGCCCACGGGCGGGCACCAGGCAAAGTCTTCTTCTCACTTCGAGGGCGCAGCACACGCCCGTGAATAGAATTCACGACGACACTCGACGACGACGACGACGACGACGACGACGACGACGACGGCGAAATCTTGCACCCCGGCATCTGGGGGCGCCCACGAGGCGCCCACGGAGGCCCAACCGGCGCACGGGGCACCCGCGGGACGTCCACGGGGGGCCCACCCACTGGGCACCCGGCGAGATCCTCGGTGGACCCACCCGGCGGAGTGGGCGCCCACGAGGCGCCGACGGGCGCCCACCGTTTGGGCACCAGGCGAAACTCAAAGCCCAGCCACGCCGATCCACGGGTTGAGATAGCACAGGTCAGAATCCCTCCTAGGTGCGAGCGCTGTTCGGGGAATCCGGCACAAACGTTCACCTCCGAAGGCCTGCACAGTTTGCCCTGCCGCCTGCGGCAGGCCCCGCCAGCGCGCCAGACCCGCATGCTGGGCGGCGACTGTTCGAGGGGGGCACGGGAGACCGTCACGCGTGGTGCCTCGTCACGAGGCTAGTGAGAGCCGTGATGATGATGATTGACGATGATGATGACGATGATGATGCTGATGATGATGATGGTGGTGGTGGTGTTGATGGTGATGGTGATGTTGATGGTGATGGTAATGGTACTGGTGATGGTGATGGTGACGATGATGATGATGATGATGATGATGATGATGATGATGATGATGATGATGATGTTGATGTTGATGTTGATGATGATGATGATGATTGTGGTGGTGGTGATGATGATGTGATGATGTCGTTGCTTCTGTTGATGATGACGATGATGACGATGATGATGATGATGATGATGCTGTCGTTGATGATGATGCTGATGATGATGATAACGATGATGATGATTAGGATGCTGCTGCTGCTGCTGATGATGATGATGATGATGATGATGATGATGATGATGATGGCGGTGGTAATGACAATTAGGATGATGATGGTGATGGCCATGATGGTGGCGGTAATGCTGCTGGCGGTGGTGGTGCTGATGATGCTGATGCTGATGGTTCTGAGGATGGTGATGATGACGGTGACGCTGACGGTGACGTTGTGGTTATGATAACGTCGTTGAGGATGAGGCGGATGAGTAGAGAGATGAGGATGATTCTGAAGACGAGGATGAGTATGATAGCGTTGCGTTTGACGTTGATGATGTTGTTGCTGCTGCTGGTGATTTTTCTTGTGATGACGAGGAAGAGAAGGAGGAACAGTAGGATGAGGAGGTCGACGAAGACGAGGAAGGCCGTCACGTGTGACACCTTTCCCCTTCTCTATTTGAGCAGCTCTCATGAAACTCGTTCGGACCACTTGGAGCTGTCTTGGCCTCCTGTGCGGTAGTCTTGGGGGTCCCTTGGGGCTGTCTCGGGGCCTTCTTACGCTGTCTTGGCGCTTCATTGGGCCGTCTCGGAGCCCTCTTGGCCGTATGGTGGGTGTCTGGGGGCCGTCGTTGGGCCGCCTTGGCCAGCTCAAAAGGCCTTTTGATGCCGTCTTGGGTCCCATGGGAGACCCTCTTGGGCCGTCTCGCGGCCGTCTTGCGTGCCTTTTAGGACACGGTGGGACCTCTTGGGCCATCTTGGGACTTTCTTGGGGGTCTCACAGGCCGTCTTGGGGCCATCGTTGAGGCTTCCTGGGCCGTCTTGAGCTGACCCAGGCCCGCAACGGCGAGAATGTGAAACTCATTCAAAAGCCTAAGGGAATCAATCATTGTGGCTTCTTTGGACACTGTTGGAGGTCCTCTTGTGCCGTCTTGAGGCCATATTTGGCCGCCTTGAGGCTATCTTGGGCCGTCTTCGGGGCATCGTGGGCCATATTGATTTCGTTTTGCTTGCAAGGGCCGTCTCGGAAGTCTTGGGACGCGTATTCATCATGTGTTGCGAGGGATCGTGGCTTCGGGAGCGCGGCTCCATAGTTTTTGTACAGAGGATCGTGGCCTCGGGAAGAGAGGTGATGCATGCGGGGAATGCGACTGACGGGGGGATGTCCCCTGTTTGAACGCAGAACCCCCACCAGACAGCCTTGGGCATTCTTCCGTGCCTCAACGTGGACAAGGCACGGTGGCGGATCTGCGCTGATCCGAGAAATCCGCGCGGACATTCGAATTAGACTTACACCGTTTGCAATTATTGCACCTTCCTCGCCAAAATAGCTGTTCAGTGTGTGCGGGTGGTGGTGTATGTTCAAGTGTGGGGGATAGAATGCACCCTCCCTCTGTGGTGGAAGTTTGCACCATCGCCGCGCCGCAACAACGACTCGACTTCTCTGCGTCTATGCCCCCACCTTCCTCCCCGGGCCCAGCAAGGGCCCCCAGAGGCAGAAACTTGCCAGACAAGATCCGCCGCGATCTTGTTTCGACGACAGGCCATCAAGGTTTCGGGACCATACCTCGGGCCTCCGGCTGCCGATCGGGACAATCTTTCACCCCCGGAACGCTCTCGACGAGGCGCAGATGGTGGAAGATGTCCCGAGGCGGTGAAGCCTCCCACAAGCGACGGAGCACTTATGTGACTGAGAAAATCCCGACGGTAGTTCGGCCGTGGTTTTTCAGCGACCGCGGATGCCAGCTTCAATGCAGACACAGGGGTTGTTGTGGGATCGCTCTTGCTTCCGCACCCTTCCTCCCTCTTTCTCCTCTTCATCCTCCCTCTCTCCTCCTCTTCCCTCCGCCCTCCTCCCTCTTGGTTTTTCTCCTCCTCCTCCTCCTCCTCCTCCTCCTCATCCTCCTCAGTCGGGTCGCCGGTCGAAGCGTCAGAAGGTCGAAGCGCATACAGGAAAAAGAAGCGAGCATAGGCAGGGAGAAGCAACGGCGACGAGGGAACCCCGAACCCCCGAAACCGAGAAAGCCGCCTGCCTGCACTGGAGCCGGGGGCGATGTCAGCCGCGGGCCTCCGCCGGCCAGACCCCCCCAGGCCGGCCAGGGCTCCGGCTTCACGCCCCCGCCGCGCGCTGGCGGCGAGGCGGCGCCGGGCGCCTCGTCGCCGTCGTCGTCGTTGCCGCCGTCGTCGCCGTCACTGTCGTCGTCAGGTCGTCGCCGCCGTCGTGGTCGCCGCCGTCAAAGACGCCGTCGCCGTCGTCGTCAGGTCGTCGCCGACGTCGTGGTCGTCGACGTCCGCCGCAGGCGGCGTCGCCGTCAGGTCGTCGCCGTCGTTGTCAGGTCGTCGTCGTGGTCGTCGTCGTCGTCGTCGTCGTCGACGGGTCGTCGCCGTCGGCGTCGTGACCTCGTCTCTTCCTCTTCATCCCTCTTACCTTTGCTCGCAGTTGCTCGTCCCCCGCCTGCTCCTCCTCATTCACCTGCTTGTCATCGTCCTCGCCCCCTCCCGCTCCTTCTCGCCCCCCGCCTACTCATCCTCGCCCCTTTCCCCCCCTTCGCTCTTCTCCTGCTCGTCCTCGCCCGCTTCCCCCCCTGTCATGCCTCCTCCGACTCCGCCTCCTCCTCCGCCTCCTGAGCGCCGACGAGAGCCCCGCACCTGCACACCCGGAGCCTCGGGGCGGACCATCGCCACGGCCGGGGCCACAGCAAGGGCAGGAGCCAGCGGGGCCGGGAGGCCTCCCCGCGAGCAGGCCTGCTGCCGGTGCGGGAACATGGCATACGCAGACCGCATCAAGGCATACCCGTGCCGCCGAGAGTGTGGCAGGGGGCATCCGAACGAGCAGGGCCAGGACCACCTCAGGGAGGCCCCGAGCCGCGCAGGGGGTTCAGCTCGCCGTTGGCATCAAGGTCCACGTAAGCAGCCCCATTCGACCCAGGCCCTGATGCGCCTGGCTCGCGCGCAGATCGTGCGCAAGGCGATTACCCGTTGTATGATGCAGGCCCTCATGAGCCTGCTATGGTGATCGTTATTTTACTCGTTGTTCTGCCGATCGGCGCGCCCCCCCCCCCACACCCATGGAGTAGATCTTGCTTGTTTCTGGCGCCTGTTTCAAGCGGGTGGAGTCTCCCCCAGAGGCAGCACTCTTGCAAACAGCCGCGCAAAGCAGATGTCTGGAGCCAGACCTCCCCCACCCTCCCCCCACCTTCCTCCCGATGTCGAAACGCCAAATAAAATTACCCCAGTGCGACCCTACCTAGAAGATGGAGCCCCTAGGAAGGCAGCATTAGTTGCTATGCTATGCTATGCTATGCCATGCCATGCCATGCTATGCTGCGCTATGCTATGTTATGATATGCTATGCTATGCTATGCTGCGATATGCTATGCTATGCTATGCTATATCGTGCTGCGCTGTGCTATGTTAAGCTATGCTAAGCTATGCTATGCTTTGCTATGCTAAGCTGCGCTATGCTCTGCTATGCTGTGCTATGCTATGCTGCGCTGTGCTATGCTGTGCTGTGCTGTGCTGCGCTATGCTATGCTATGCTATGCTGCGCTCTGCTATGCTATGCTGGGCTATGCTAGGATATGCGATGCTGCGATATGCTATGCTACGCTATGATATGCTATGCTATGCTATGCTATGCTATGCTATGCTATGCTAAAGCTCAGCGAAGCTAATATGAAGGTAAGCTAAGCTAACATCAAACTGAGGTACGATAAAGCTAAACTAAAGTAAGATGAAATAAGCTAAGTTAAGATGAGATAAGCAACGCGAAGCTAAGGGAACGTCACTGGGGGAACCGCGGGGCGGATGCTATGGGAACAACCGGGGCGTGCCCCATTGCCCGGCCCTTTATGCCTCCGAGTAAGAACCCTTCTAGGCAGAGCCTAGGTAGGGAACAAGACGCTCACCTGGCTCACGCGCAGATCGTGCAAGGCGATTACCGGTTGGATGATGCAGGCCCTCATGAGCCTGCTATGGCGGCCCACGACATGGACGATGGCGACGCTGGACTTGCCGAGCCAGCGACACCTTTCCCCCCCCTCCTTCGTCACGACGCCGGCCACTTCCGACCAAGTCAGACAGGCTGGCCCTGGCGCGCCGGACTGCGTACACACTTTCGACCCCCAGGAGAGCTCGAGCGAAGATGAGACCAGCACAGAGGTGGGCCCAGCAGAGCATACCACCGCAGCCGGTCCGGCGCCTGGCGCCACAGTGTTGGACAGTTGCCCCGAGAAGTGCGCCGAGGCGGCGCGGGCCCTGGAGTAGCCTGCCGCCGCCACAAGGCCCTCTGCCTCCGAGCAGAGCGCTGCAGTCTTGGACAAAGAGCTCATCAAAATGTACACACTGTTCAGTTCGAATTCTTCGAAAGTTCTTTGATTCTCTGGGGAGCCAAGCTCCTGTCATTTCTGATTGTTCTATCCAGGGCCTCTTCTTGGCCACTAGGGGGCCAGGAACAATTAGAAACGAGCACAATTAGAAATGAGCACGATAAGAAATGAAAGACGTGTACAGCAAGGGAGTGCAGACCGAGCCAGGCCCGCCGCCTTGGCCAGGTGAGGGCGGCAGCTTGGCCCCTGCATGTGTCGAGAACTCGCGTTGCGGAGCGAAGTCTCTCCCCGACTTCGCCTTGCCCAGCGTGGGTAGCAACCACAACACGCAGCAGTTGGTGGAACCCGATGCCGATGCGGAGGACTACACAATCGCCGTGAAGGCACACCTGCAGGAAGTGCAGGCACTACAGCAGTGGGCCTACGCGGAACGCGGCAAGTCCAACGACGCCCACGTAGACGAGTTCCACCATAATTGGCGAGAGGGTCAAGACCGCCGGAGCGAGCAGCAGGGAGTGCTGGTCGTGCCACCCGCTCGGCTTGCGGTCTGCTGCACGCAGCCTCTGCTGGCTGGCCACACCCGCAGTCCTTTTTCCTAGTTACTTCGCAGTAGGTTCCTCCTGCCTCTAGTGACTCACTTTGCCGGTGCTTAGGTCCGAAGGCTCTGAAGGCTCCTCCTCCGCCTCCTCCTCCTCCGTCTTCTCCTCCTTCCTCGTCCTCGAACTCGTCTTTGTCTCCTTCCCCGCCTCCTCACCCGTCCGAACGCGTCCACTTTCCTCTCCCCTTCCCTCCTCTTCCTCCTAACCCTTCTCCTCACCGTCCTCCTCGTCCTCCATACGTCCTTTTCCTTTCAGCCCTCTGGACCCCGAGAGCTGCTCAAAATTGCTCCCACGACCCCTCCTGGGGTGCACTCGGACAGTTGTTTCACTCCAGATCGATGTTGTTAGGGGCCGTAGCGGGTTCCAAGAGGCCAGAGTTGATGAGCAAAACCTATTCTTCGGACTTCGATGCCATTTTCTTACCACCTCGCCTCTTCCTCAGCCCCACTCCTCATTTTACGCTGGGCAAACTTACGCAGCGGAGCTGTAGCGTTCCCACTCCTCATTCCTCATCCTCATCACCATCCTCGCCCTCTCCCTCACCCTCGTCGTAGTTACCGTCGTGATCATCACCCTCCTACTCGCCCTTTTCCTCCTGACCCCTTGTTCCTCTCCATCCTTTTCCTTATAGATGCGCCTCTTCGTCTGAGAACCCGACGTGTCGGTAGGACGGTCTGGGTGTTTCGCTTTCAACTTCCTCGCGAACTATGATAGTGACGCGTGGAATGTCCAGCAGCTAGAAGGATGAAGGGCGGACCGTTTCCAACATGAAGTTCTTTTCTCCAGTGCCACGCAGGTTCGTTGCACAAGCTTGCAACGGTTACCAGGATGTGGAGGGTCGTTTTCAAAATAGACAAATCGCCACAGCGCATGCAACATTCGCTTTAAACAGCTTGCAACAGCTACCAGGATCCAGGGCGGCTTCTTTTCAATACATGGCTCTAGACTCAGCGCCACGCATGCTCGGCTTCAACATTTGCAGTGGTTGCTGGAATGGGGGGCCCCTCCCTTTCAAAGCTGGACTGTCGCGTTAGACGCCCGTGCAGATGTCACAACAAACGCAAGCACGTGCACTTGTCAGACGGATGGCGGCGGGCTCGGCTTCGGCAGGGGGCTCTCGCTGCAGATTGCCGCACAGCACCACGCGTGGAAGCCTGCGCACCGGCTGCACGGATGGAGGGCGGTTCCTTCTCAAAAGGAGGCCGCGGTCTTGGCTTTTGTTCGTCTCCCCCGTGCGTGACGGTCAGAAGCTCTTGAGCAGATGCGCCACAGCGGTGGAGGGCGGCTCGTCTTCCAAAAGGCCCTCTCGCAGTGAGACGTCCGCTCATGATGGGCTTGTTTTTCACCACCACCACCATGAGTTGGATGGGGGGAAGGAGAAGGAGGACGAGGAGGAGGAGGACAAAGAGGAGAAGGGGGAGGAGGAGGAGGAGGAGGAGGAGGAGGAGGAGGAGGAGTTGGAGGAGGAGGACCCCCTCCCCTTCCAACTTATGGTGGTGGTGGTGGTGGTGGTGGTGGTGGTGGTGTAAAACTGGCCCATCGTCTCAACCTCAGGATCAGGATTTGACACGTGCCCCACGGTTACGCCGATGGGGGGCGGCTCTCTGTCATGACGAGTCTCTCGCTGGATCCTTCTCTGAACTCTACGGCCCTGCCTCGTCGCGCTCCACATGGCTCGCTATCGCAGGATGCGGGGCCGCTCCTGTGCTCTCCGCCCGAGCTGCAGGCCCGGAGGGTGCTCGTCTCTCGATGGGGCGGCTCTTGCAGTGATGGAAGAGCGATGCAGAGTTGAGTCGGGCCTGTCCCTCTGCAGTAGGAATGTTCAAAAATAGCGAAAAAATAGGCTGGGGACGATTTGTTTTACGATTTTTGACTACGTTGGGGCATTTTTGGAGTATTTTGCATTTATCCTCCAAAATCCGCCTGTAGGGGGACACGCCCGACCTAAATGTAGAGACTCCTGAGGGGAGAACCTGGGACGAGAGGGCGTATTGCAGCATCGTCGAGACAGCTTGTGTTCCCTCTTGTCCTCCCCTCCCTCCACCAGGGGAACGGACAGTGGCATGAACATAAGCACTCGGAGGTCCGCGCGGATTTCTCGGATCGGCGCTGGACCCTGGCGCGCGGAGCGCGCCAGTGGCGGCGCCGGAGGCGCCGCTAGGGGGCCCCAGCGCGGATCCGAGAAATCCGCGCGGACCTCCGAGTTCTTATGTCTGTGTCATTCTGCGGCCCCCTTATCCACATCCGCCCGCTCCACTCTCCTTCGCCCCCGCCCCAGCCGCGCGCCGGACCGCGAGGCCGAGGCGGTGCTGCTGCTGGCGCCCGGGGCCAGGGATCCGGGGAGGCCGAGGGGGCGCACGCGCCGCGCCCGTGCTGGGGATCGCTTCGGGGGAGGGGAGGGCGGGAAATGCAGGACCGGAGCGATCGACATGGGTACGTCGGGGGCGGCCAAGAGGGGGGTGATGACCAGGGGTGTCCACGACATCTCCCCAGATTTCGTGGCGCCTCTTCTTGTTTCATGGCGTCCCGGCACATGCCACCGGCCATGATTTGCGCCCCCCCCCTCTCTTGGACGCCCCCCTCTTGGCCGCCCCCCGAAACATGGGATCTTCTCTTGTTTTTGGGCCACCGGTGGGTGAGGTGCCGGCCGGGCTTCCTCTGGGTTCTCGTGGTCTTGCTTCTTTGCAGCGGCGTTCGTCGGTGGTCCGTGGATCAAGCAGTGGCGAAGCGTCCTGGCTCGCCTATAGCCCTACCAAACAATGTTCTAGTTTCCACGAAATGTTCTTAGAACATTTATGGTTGATATTGTTTCGTTTTAACACATCGGTTTATGTCCTAAGAACATTGTTTTTGTTCTTCGAACACTTGTGGGTTCTGAGAACATGTCATGGTAGGACTATAGGAATGCCAGTACGGTCGGTCCCTGCTCAAGTGGTGCTGTTTCTTTGCAGTGGCGTTCCTCGGATTTCCAGGTCTTGCTCGCTTGCAGCGGCGTTCCTCGCCGAGCAGCGCGGCGCAACGCAGTTCGATGAAAGCCCATTCGCTGCCAAGCAAAGGGATGCACTTCCAATCAGTGCCAGTGCCACGCAATGCTGAGCAACGCCAAGCAGTGCCAAGCAGCGCCAAGCAGCGCCAACAAAGCGCTCAAGCACCCCTCTACACTGGAGGCAGGACGCCATGCTAAAGCAAGGCGGCCTCCAGCAAGAAAACGAAATCAAAGCGAGACCCAGGAAGACACGGGGAGGGGCGCGGACAGGCAGCCCTCCGCGGGCCACGACTGTTGCACCCATGGGGGGGTGGCAAGAAAGAGGCAGGCAGAGAAGGTGGTTTACATCTGAGACCCCAAGAGGGGCCCAACGCAGCCCCAAGATGACACCAATAGCGCTTCAAGACGTCCCAAGGTATGCTCCAAGACAGGTTCCAGAGTGTTGTCCGAGTGTGGTTGCGGGCACGCTCGCGGGCGCCCGCGGCCCAAGATACGTTGCGCAGCTGCGGGGCCTAGTCTGCACTCCGCCTCCAGGAGGTGAGCGCGGGAGGAAACAGGCGGGAGGGGTAAGGAGTTTGGTCTCATGTGGGACGCGTTTGGCCTAAGATGTGTTGTGTAGTTGCGGGGTCTAGCCAGCGTTCCGCCTTCAGGAGGCGGCAGCGGGAGGAGATAGACGAGAGGGGTGAAGAGTTCGACTCCGTGTGGGATACATCAGTCAGTCCTGCAAGCTTCTCTCACTGGACCATGTGTGCGTCCAAGAAGGCACCGACCGACTTTCAGTCCGACCTCCTCCCTCTTGCTGATGGCAACGATGTGGCACAGACTGTAAGCCAAAGCGCAGGCGGTCCGCTCGATGCACGTGCTCACGGCCACGAGCTTCTGCAGCTTTGCGCCAGCGGCCCCGTCGAATAAGCACGAGGAGCCAGACTCGTTGTCCTGGTCGTCGTCTCTCCAAACCCGCACCACCACACGCGCCCAGTCGAAGCTCACGGCTGCCGAGCTACCGAGCCGTGCTGCTCGGCGTCGTCTTGCTGGATCCCGTCGTGCTGCCTGTCGTCGTGCGGCCGGTGGCCGTCGTGCCGCACGGTAGATGGAGCAGGCGTTATGGTGGGCCACGTCATGCTGCTCAGCAGCACCGCACTGCCGAAGATGACACATACACTCCAGTGGAACGTCGGTAGAACGGACCAGGCTCAACCTGCGTTGGACCCCGTCGTGCTGCTGGAGCCCATCGTGCTGCTAGTCGACTTGATGCTGGTGATCGTTGTGCTGCGCAGACGTGCGCGAAGTAGGAGCCGTTTTGCTACACTCCACTATACGTGGTCAGCATTCTGTTGTTGGAGCGGGTCGTGCTGGTGATCGTTGTGCTGCTGGTGGCCGTATGCATAGATGCGCATGAAGGGGTGCGGTTGTCGTTATGCTGTACGCCGTCATGCTACTCATCGTCTTACTGCTGGATCCCGTCGTGGTGCTCATCGTCAAGAGGATGCTGGCCGTCGTGCTGCGCACGCGAGGATGCAGCAGTCATCTTGCTGGACGCCGACGTCAAGAAACACCTTTTCATATGTCCGGGGGCCCGTTCTGACCAGCATTTCGAGGCGGATCCAGCTGTGGCCCCTGGAGGCCCCGGAAAGGACCCAGAAGCCCCAAAAATTGCTCGATCCTTGAACTTCACGCCCCTTTCGCGAAGACGACGGCGACGACGCCGACACCGACGCCGAAGCTCCTCTAGTGTCTCCAGAGGTCCCCGGAGGCCTCCCAAGGCGCCGGAGGGCCCCTGTCAAACAAAAGGCGTACATAAATTGAGCCCCTCGGCCCTCGACGCCCTCGACGCTAACGGCGCCGACGCCGACGCCGACGTCGCTGTCGGCGTCGCCGCGGCGGCGGCGACGACTCCGACGCCGACGCCGACGCTGCCGCTGCCGCCGCCGCCGCCGACCACGACAATGACGACGACGCCGTCGCCCACGTCGACGCCCACGTCGACGCCCACGCCGACGGCGACGACGGCGTCGCCGGCGCCGACGACGACGGCGACGCCGACGTGGGTGGCGGCGAGGTGCAGATCGCTGGGCCAAAGTTGGCGCGCACGGGCGGCTCGGTTGCCGCGGCGTGCTTCGGGCGCCTCGGCGACACGCCAGCGGACTGCGAGCCGCAGGCGGCGGCTCCCTCGTCGCCGCCGTCGGATCGTCGCCGTCGTCCTTCTTCACCTCCCTCCTTTTGTTGGTGGGGAGCGGACTTCAACCGACGTGATTTGCATCCCGCCTCCTCATCTCTCATTTCCTCCTCCCTCCTCCCTCCCTCCTTTCTCCTCCCTCCCTCCTCCTCCTCTTCCCTCCTCCTCCTCCTTCTCCCTCCGCTCGCACCGCCCTTCTTCTCTCCTCGTCGTCCTCCGCCTCCTCCTCCTCCTCCTCCTCCTCCTCCTCCTCCTCCTCCTCCTCCTCCCCTCTCCTCATTCCCTCCTCCCGGCAGGAGAGGGGGGGCAGGAGGGAGAGGGAGGGGGATGAAGGGTTAGATGGTCGGGTGGGGAGGGGAGTGAAGCGGAGTGGAGAAGATGGAAAAGATGGAAGGGGTGCGGAGGTGTACATTTTGGTCCCAGCAGTAGGTAGCGGAGGCCTTGAAGAAGGCATTCAACGTCACGCAGGACCTCGGTCGGTATCGTCAAACCGATCCCTACCCCCATTGGCTCATCGCATCTCAGCCCCACCATCCCACCCACCCCCAGTTGGGGACAGGCACCGCGAAACCCGAAGGGAGAACCATATACCCCCATCTTACTGGAGGGGTCAATCAGCCAGCGGGGCCAAGGCCATGCCGGTGGGGATGGGAATCTGCTAAACATCGCCCAGGACCTCATCGGCAGGCGTCTCATCTCCGCGGGCCACGATCGCAGCGACGGCGGCCTCGCCGCCGCCGTGCTCGAGATGGCCTTCGCGGGCAACTGCGGCGTGATTCTAGACGTCTCGGGGGCGGAGGTGGGCACCTCCCCACATCTAAAGCGGCTGCAGTCAGGATTGCCCCCTGTGCCTCCTCCTCCTCCTCCTTCTCCTCCTCCTTCTCCTCCTCCTCCTTCTCCTCCTCCTCCTCCTCCTCCTCCTCCTCCTCCTACTCCTCCTCCTCCTCCCCTTGAGGCTGACACTATTTTGTGTTGAATTGGCAATTCCACATCGTGGCTCAGCGCTGGTTCTGTCGCAGATCTCTTCAGTTCTGGTGCTGGTGCTTCCGCGGAGTAGCCCAGTCACCAGCGTTAAAGACATGCGATGTCATCTGATGTGTTGTGGTGCTTCCCCTCAGCGCTCCTCACCCTTCTCCAAGAATTCGCGAATGACGACAGAGCGGCTACGGTCAAGACGCTGGAATACGCTGGAATGAGGGGGCCACTTTGGGTTCGGGAGGGGCTCCCGTTTTCGTGCTGCTCCTCGGATTTGGGCCATGGAGCCTTGATCGTGGCCGGGGCTCGCGGTTGTCAGAAAAGCGCCATCGTTCTTCATTCAGCGTTCTGTGTGGTAGCACGGTTACGCGATGACTGCACCCCAAATCGCCCAGACGTTGACCTCCCCTCGGCCCAGCCCACCAACCTATCTCGAGGGCGGCCCAGGCTGGGGACGGGGCGGCAGGTCGCGTGGGGGGGTCGGGCTTTCTGGCGAACGCCGGCTGGCACTGATCTCGGGCGCCGCCCGAATCTGCTTCTCGGGATGTCTCCGGCTGACGGGCTATCTGACTGGCTGGCTGGACCAAGAACGGGCCGCTCCGGGTGCCCACGGCCGAGGGGCCGGCCGAGGGCGCAACCCAGGGCAGGCTGTTTGGCGGCTCGGCGGCCCGGGGCCCAGGGCGCACCCTGTGACGCAGAGGGTGCTGTCGGGAACGCTCGCCTGCCTGAGCGTGTCGCGCCGCCGGCTCTGGCCAGCCACTCGGTATCGTTTAGCCGATCCCCATCCCCATCTCGATCCCCTTCGAGACCCCCATCGAAGTACAACCCCAGTTGGGGATACACCTCCCGAAACCCGAAGAGAATTATACCTGAGAGAACCCCAATCAGTGGATGACTCGAACATTGATACGATGGATCTTGAGATCGATTGTGATATCGATAAAGAGATCAATCGTGGAATCGATAGTGAGGACGATTGTAAGGTTGATCGTGAGACCGAGAGTGAAATCGGTTCACTGAGATCGATCGTGAGATCGATCGCGCGATCGCTCATGCGATCTCTAGTGAGATCGCTTGTGAGATTGATAGTGAGATCGATTGTGGGATCGATGGTGAGATCGATCGAGAAGTTGGTAATGAGATCGATGGTGAGACTGATCGATAAGAAGATCTGCCAGAAACCCGGGAACCCGGGAACCTCGCCGCCCTCCGAAATCGGCCCGGAGCCTGGAACCGGGAACCAGGGAACCCGGAACAGAGAACCCGGGAACCCGGGAACCCAGCCTGCCACCAAAATCGGCGGGGAATTTTCGCTAAATCTTTCAACTTCCGCTAGGACCCCTTCAGTGCAAGCACTTATTGGGGAACGACCTATTTCCCCATCCAGGGGGGTAAATCGGCCAGCGGGGCCCAGGCCATGCCGCTGGGGATGGGGATCGGTGAGACGATACTCAGCCACGCCTCGGCGCGACACGCTGAGCACGGGGCCTTTGCTCAGCCTCCCGCCCCGTGGAGCGGAGCGATGCGCTGTCCGCTTGTGCACGGCAATCAGCGCGTCGCCGGGGCGCCGCTGCCGCGCGGCGCGCGGAGCAGACGTTCCCGGCCGCAGGCTGCTGCAGGCCGTGGAGGCTCTGGCGGCCGAGGGCGCAGCCAGTGGCATGCCAGTTTAAGTTTCGGCGGCCCACGGCGGAATGGATGGCGCAAGCCTTGCTGGACGCAGGTTCGTCTCGCGACGCCGCCGGCACAGGAATGGCTGGCCGACTTTTGTTGTTGGTGACTCCGTGCCCGGGCTCTCTGCCAGTACTTCCGTTCGGGCGGGGCGGTAGCAGATGCGGCGGCGCTCAACGCAATGTGCGTTTACGCCCTGTACAGACTGCACGGTGCTGTTACTCCAAATCCATTTTTAATCGTCCCGCAGGTCCGTTTTTTTCAGGCGCCTTTTTCGTAGCTGGCGGGGTCGGGGCGCTGATTTGGATTGGAGCTTAGGGGGTCTGGTTTCTCAAGGCACCCCGTCGAAGAGGGGGGTCCAGAATATTGGGTCGCATTTGGAGGGGGGTCCGGTCTTTAGTGGGGGGTCGATTGATAAGGAATTTGGAGTATGGCGCAACCTGTTGCGAAATCCCGAACGCAAAAATTGGCGCATAGTATGACCCATGGTGCAGCCGATGGCGCCACCGATTGCGCAGCCCCCGACGCAAGGCCCGTGGCGCAGCCTGTGGCGTCGGGTATGTCGCGTCCTAGTGCGCAAGCCCTCACGCAGCCTCTGTCGCAAGCTTGTGGTCTTCGATCCATTCCGCCACCGTGCCTTGGTTGTGGGTCAGAAGCCTTTCGCATGCGCGCTCATTCGGATGCATCTGTGGCCTGCTGGAGGCCTTTTGGGGTTCTCATGGGGCCTTCGCGCCGCTCTGATACCAAAAACGCCAAAATGGAATATATGGTTCAATCAGTTCTGGCCTGGGAAAAAAGTCAGGCGGGGTTCCCAGGAGCGCCCAGGAGCCCCCGAGCTTGCTCGTGACTCGGGGGTCTCGGCCCCTCCTGAGAGAGTATACGATATTCGATGCAGAGAATTCGAATAAGGGACGCGAGGACATTCCTGGCCCGTGGCTGGACCTTTGCCTGGCCGCGGCGGCCGCTTTTTGCTGCTGATTAGTTACGGGCTACGTGCCACTTTGCGCGCCGACAGGGTTACGGCCACGGGTTTCGGCCCAGCACGCCTATTCCTTTTCACTGTACACGTGAGGACACTCCACCTCGTGCAACGGGGCACTGTGATAGATACGTCTTTCAACCGGTGACGCAACCCCGAGCGCAACCTCTGGCTAACGCACTGGCAACTATTAGCAACGCGTGCGGTACAACTATGGCGCGACCTATGGCGCAACCTGGTGCTCAGCTCAAGGCGCCACCTGTGGTGCAGCGTATGCCTCAGCCCTCACAGCACCTATGGCGCAACCAGTGCTGCAGCGTAATTATGGCTCAACCTCATGGCGCACGGGACTCCAAATAGTTCACCCTCACATCTGCCGTTGGGAGATGCCCGATGTATACACATCCGTATCTATATACATACGCGTAGACATATTCACATACATACATAAATATACACACATATGTGTAAATATACGTATGCAAATATCTTTACATGCCCCCTCCCTGTTGGGGCTGCGGGGCAGGGGACCTTTCTTTCGGCGGGGGGAGGGGCACAGTTGCTTCGCACCTGGGCGGGATAGCCTTGGCGCTGGACGAGCCGCCGGTGGAGTTCCACCACGCTGGGCATGCCATGGCTGACGTTCTGGGGGGCGGCGCCGATGTCGGCCAGGTCTTGGGGCCCCCCGAGCCGCCCCAGAACTCCGCGCGATGTCCGCTCTCGTCGCTCGCTCCGGACCGTCGCCGACGTCGATCGGTTTTCCCCCGCGCGCCCCTGTGCACGCCTCCTTGTCGCACCAGGCTGGTGGCACTTCGTGTTCCTCCCTCTGTCTCGTTCTCCTCCCTTTCTCCCTTCTCTACGGGTTCCAAAAAGCATCATGCACCACCACCGGCTCCCTCACCCCTCCCTCCTTCCAGGAAAGGAAGGAAGAAGAAGAAGACGAGGTTGGACGAGGGAGAGGGTACGAAGGTGGTGGTGGTTCAGCTTCTTGGCGCCCGCGCGCTCCTCCACCTTCTCTTCTTTTCCTCCCCCATCACCCCCACCGTACCCGTGGGGCCACCCTGGCAGCTTCTTCATTCATCCTGCATCGATTTGTATGGCGGACCTGGGGCCCCGAACGGGCTTCCTTGAGACCGACACAGGCGAAAAGCTTTACTTGGAACCCCTCTCGACCCGTCAAACGGCCTC